AGAACGGATTGATTATGTTCCGTTATAAACAATAGATACATTTATCTCTCATTTTATCTCTCATCAATCTGATGAAAATACAGATCTATATTTCGTTTCGTTTTTTTATACGTTCGATGGCCTACACTTGTGTAGTAAGACAAGTAAAACGAAATTTTGAACTATAAAAAACGAAACGAAATAGGATCTGTGTTTTTATCAGATTGATCATAATTTCCATTTTCTGGTTTTCATTGAATTTTTTTTCATTCCCTGATATGTGTTCTATTTAAACCGATGGTGTATTTACTTGGAGTTTTATCACATTACCTGAATGTCAACAAAGTACGTTCTAAAACCGTTAATGGACAATGGATAAGAAGGAATACTTCTAGTACGAATTTACTATGATCTAATAATATGGGATAACAATGATTTACAACTACTAATGGTCCGACGATTATATGGATATTTTACTCGCTTTCCAGGTATTAATTTAATAGCTAGCTATACGGGGGGTTAATATAATAATAATCTTTATTCCAATCTTCACCAGAAGATACATGAATATATAAAATACATAACATACATGAATATATAAAATACATAATAACATACAGTCGAACATGACAATCAATCTTTTAAATATTTACCTACAGCGATTTACATTTAATTTATCGTGAATTAAATCTTATTTACTAAAGTGATTTAATATAACTGATATAAATTTACATAATTTGATTAAACATGCATTATGCAAGAGCAAAATCTGCTTATACAAGTCTTTCTTTAGGCCTGAAATGTTATCTAAATTATCATTTAGACATTAATTAACTTATCCAGACCAAAATAAACTCTCGATGTCAAGGCTAGCCTTCGATGTTGGTTGGATTAGATTCCCATATGTAGCTAACGGCTATTGATAATTAAATAAAAAAAGTGGATAATCGAGACTATGCTGTTTATGTTAATGATTTTAGTAATGATGACCGAGACTATGCAAAAATTTCACCCGCTTCTTTCTCGGCTCATAGTGGATCAATTTGACTGAAATTTTCAGCAAATTACCTTTACACTATCTAGTTTTTAACTATTATAGCGAGAACTACCGTCTCTTTATCTTATCTCCCATAATATGTCTTTAAGTTTGTGCCTTTAACATTAAATAAATCTTTCATTTTATAGGTTGAGGGAGATCTGTTATAGAAACGAGTTAAATATAAAAGCCCTGTCCCTGAGAAAAAAAGAACATTTGAATATATACTATTCAAAAAAAGTAGGGGATATTTGATTTTGGGGGTATAATACTAAAATATGCAAATGACTACGAAAAAAGTCACTATAGAACCTAACGGAAGAAACATTTCCAGTTACATGTGACGCCCAAACGCACCACTAGCTACCGCATGGAATGCAGGTGATGCTTGGGATCATCATGGGGGTCCAACCCAAGATTTGCACGACTCTGACTTTGAATGTTACAGTCATTGTGGCATTGAATTCCAGGGTGGAAACGTCAGTTTAATTGTTTTAGTGACCAGAAAACAAATTTTGATATGCGTCGGCTTACCCAAAATGAAAGGTTACGTGCCCTTGGCATGCTACAGATCGGCACAACACAGGCGGTTGTGGCGCGGACGATGAATGTTTCTCAGTCTGTCATAAGCAGGCTATGGTCCAGATACCGTGATACACAATCTGTACAGGACAGACCACGCTCAGGTCGACCAAGGGCGACAACTCAAGCCCAGGATCGATTTATCCGTACCTTGGCCTTGAGAAATCGTGTCATCACAGCAAATCAGATCAGCGCTCGTCTTCAAACAGACACTGGTGTGAGAGTGAGTGGCCAGACGATTCGGAATCGACTGCATAGGGTTACCTTCGCGCCCGACGTCCTCGCGTGATCCCTTGTTTGAGAGATCATCACATTCAGGCAAGACGTCGTTGGTGTAGGGATCGTCAACACTGGGATAATCGACGCTGGAGCAATGTGATGTTTTCAGATGAGTCAAGGTTCACTGTTGATTTTTTGGACAGACGTAGGAGGGTGTGGCGTCGTCGAAACGAGCGCTTCCAAGACGTTAACGTCATCAGACATGATCGATTTGGGGGTGGTTCTGTTATGGTGTGGGGAGGCATCACTGTTGCTGGAAGAACGGCTTTACATGTTGTTGCAGGGCGTGTTACAGGCCAGTACTACCGGGACAACATCTTGGCAGTCCATGTTGTGCCGTTCGCACGACGTCATGGCCGCCGTTTCATCTTCCAGGATGACAACGCAAGATGTCACAGGGCCAGGATCGTTACAGGTTACCTCCAACAACAGAACATCACCACATTACCTTGGCCAGCACTGAGTCCCGACCTCTCCCCCATCGAGCATGTCTGGGACATGCTTGGACAGAGGTTACGTCAACGTCAACAACGTCCTGCCAATGTCCAAGAACTTGCTGCTGCGTTGCAACAGGAATGGGACAATCTGGACCAAAATGACCTTAGGAGTATGCCACGTCGGATCAATGCTTGTTTGGCAAACAGAGGAGGATTTACCCGTTACTGACTTGGTTGTGATGCTGTGGTAACTTTGCTGTTTGACCCCGGGTATCATTTTACCCTTATAATGGTCAGTCTGTGCCTTACTTAGTCTAACGATCATTTGGAATAAATCGATGAATGTGAACTTCATTTCATTTTGTCATTTGTTTCTTCGTCAGTTTCATTAGGTGACTTTAATAACACTTAAAAATCAAATATCCCCTACTTTTTTTGAATAGTATATGTAGTGAAATTCGTCGCCAACTTCTTTTTATTACATAATGTACAGATTCTATTCTCTTTAGATATGTTTGTAAAAGAGCCAGTTTCTATTGGTAGCAAATGACTCCTGCAACAAAATCGCGTCAAACTAACGCGGTATTTCCTAGGCAGGCTTACTAGGTATTCTTCAAATATAAGACAATCTTTAAATATTCTGTAGTAAAGACATTTGCTACTGTTGTTTACATTAGACCTCCATTCTTGTACATACTGGTCCATTAGTTTTAACTTAATACTTTCCTTAAGCCATTTGGGGTTAATATTGTTTTGAGAGACATATATCGATGAGAAACCAGTTTCGTCCAAAATACATCTAACATAATTTATCCACTTTGTATGTAGTGTTTTCTAATTTACTCATCAACTTATACAACATACATGACAATTTATTTGGATTACCAGAACTAATCTTATGCCAGTAGGATACAATTCTGCTTTTAACAATAAGTTGAAGCGGAGAAACGCCCAACTCCCCATATACCATGGCGTTTGGAGTGGATTTCTTGACACCTAACACTATTTTGCAGAATCGTAGTTGAAGTCGTTCTAACAATTGTATATCCGAGTTTCCCCAGACTTCACAACCATATAGCATAATAGGGATAACTAAAGTATTTAACAGTTGAAGCTGTGTGCCAATGTCTAAATGCAATTTCTTTGCTTTTTTAAGAATTGTAAACATCGCATTACTGGCTTTAACATACAGCATTCTTATTGCTTTAGTAAACGAGCCGTTGTAGTTAAAGACTATTCCTAAATATGTATAACCATCTACTACATCAAGTAATATATCTCCATACATTAGTTTCGGCTTGTTTCTGATTTTACCCCTTGAAAAATAAAACATGACTTTTGTTTTTGAGGTGTTTATGTCAAGTTTCCATATCTTACAATATTCATGCATACCATTTATTGCGGCCTGAAGATCAGCCTCTGTTTCAGCCAAAATAACAGTGTCATCAGCATATAATGTAGCCGCCCTCGGTATGACCTTGGTTTGACTTGGACTTTAAATAAAAACTGTAAGAGGATATTAATAATAATAATAATAATAATAATGGATTTATTATCTTTACGAACGTTGTTCTATATTTACAGTAATAATACAATAATCGTTGGGTGATTTAGATCCTTCCTCGACTTCTACCGGGGAATAATTCGGCTTTTATATATTTAAGGAACGACGTTTAACCTTAAATATTTTCCCGTTGTACGGCGCCCGTTAGTTGACGAAATGGCATTGAGGCTTTACACATAATCTTAATCGTCTATTTTTTAGTTAGGGGGGGGGGGGTAGTTAAAAGGAATACGATAATTTTTACTATATTAAAAATTGCATAAAACGACACAAATTAATATAAGAGCCTTGTCTAACTCCAACCATACAGTTAAACATATCGGATAGTACATTCTCATGTTTAATACAAGATTTTACCGATATGTATATTATAAATAACATTGAAAAGTTTACCTTTAATTTCACAATCAATAACTTTATACCATAGATTTATTCTATCAACAGAATCAAAAGGCCTTTCTGTAATCTATAAAGGATGCATAAATTCGTCTTTTCTTAGATAAATACAAATCAATTAGACATTTGAGTGTGAATATATGATCTAGAGTTGTGTACCCTTTACGAAATCCCGCCTGCTCAGGTCCAATACTACCCACTGTCTCGGTATATTTAGTTAACCTTTCATTAACTACTGCCGTAAAAAGTTTACTAAGACAGCTTACAATTGTGATACCACGGTAATTGTCAATGTCTGTTCTAACCCCTTTGTTTTTGTACACAGGACGTATAATACCACGGTAATTGTCAATGTCTGTTCTAACCCCTTTGTTTTTGTACACAGGACGTATAATACCCGTCAACCATTCTGATGGCATTGTACCAGTTTCTAATATCAAATTAAACAATGCTACATTTACATGGGACCTATATAGCAATGTTAAGAAATGTAATATGGGTACTATATGGGAGTCATGTGGGGTGCAAATAAATGTAATATGGGGCTTGCATGGGACCCATATGACCATGTTAAGAAATGCCATATGGTTACTATATGGGGCTCATGTGGGGTGCAAATAAATGTAATATGGGCATAATATGGGACTCATATGGGATCTTGTACCAAATAAGTACAAAACTATTTATATTTGGTTTCATGTTTTATTATGCTTTCCCAATTAGGACGGTTGAAATTCGTTGAGATCTCCCACCATCCCGTCCCTTGAATTTGTCAGGAAACCAGTTTAAACGACTAACTGCAGCTTTGATTTCCTTGTTTGTGGTGTTTCAAAACATTGGATTTCTTCTGACTGGATCTGTAATTCAAAAGGAAAGCACATTAGGTCTGTTGATGTGCAACCTGACAAAGCAACAAAACTCTTTCCATATGATCTCCCCTTAGACCACAAAACACATACAATTCAAATCTAAATTGCACCTGAAATATGCAGAGGGTTCAAAAAGACTTTTGATGAACGATTGTAAAAACATTAAAATAAACCCCATCGTACCAGAACTATTGATTTGCATTTATTTCTAACAATGACGTATCATCAATATTACTTACTAAAAACAATGGTAGCTGTAGCATGTGCCCCTAATTCACGCTTGCCTTTTTATCCTGTCCAATTGTAAAGGGGTTGTACATAAGTGACACTGAGATTCTTCATGATGTTGTTAACGATGGACAGGACATCTCTGCCACCTAATCGTCCAAGTCGGTTTATCTTAAACAGAACGAAAAAATAAGTAAGTGCACTATATTACCTGCAAAATATCACATATCGAACGAAACTATTCTTCCATAAATTCACATTTAATATAATGCGAGTTGTCACGTGTTAAAACATGCACACCCAAGCAGCTTCATCATCCTGATCATTAATATAAATGGTTACAGTTTTTTTTGTGAATAAAGGGCACCATACAAAAGCATTTATCTGTCAGTGTTGTTCTAACATACCTATATCAACAAATTTGACTCGTAACCTTTCTTGTTTTGGAGGGGGGGGGGCATGATATAGAGTCCATACTAATGACTTATCGTTTGTTTGTCATTCTGTTCAAGGTTGGTAGTTACACCAAGGCTGTCATGAGGCTGAATATTTTGTGTGTAGGGGTGGCACCAAACTAGAGTTTTACCAAATTCAGTTATGTCCTTTGTATGTATTTCGTTGTATATCTGATAAAACTTTCCGACGTTTTGTCCAGCGAGAGCAAGAAACATATTTTGCCATGACACACATTAATAATAATAATAATAAAAACTTTATTTAATGAGGCAACGTATTTAGTTTGCAAAAAAACCAAACTAATCTTCCATAGGTCCCTCCTAAACTACAAAGACATATATACATGTAATATCAGGATAAATTTAAAATCATTAGAAATGCAATAGCATTTTAAAGTGGGAAGTTTGATAAGTCACTCCCAAACTACAAAACATATACATTATACAAGTAGAATATAGGAAGAACACTATAATTACACACAAAATAAAATAGAATGCAGTTGCAAGTTAAAAATAATAAGTATGTCATCAGTTGAATATTATGGTTCCTTCAGTGTGCAAAATAAATGAGTTTTCAGTTTAATCTTAAAATTTTCAACATTTTTACACATCTTTATATCAAAAGGCAGATTGTTCCATAAAAGACATGCAGAATAATGAAAAGTACGTTTCATGGATTCCGTTTTGCATTTTTGAAGAAAAAGAGATTTACTGGTCTGTGAACGGAGCAAGATATCCGTTTTGGAAACAAAAGATTTTTCAATAAAATGGAAATTTAGATAAAGTGGAGTATTAAATGTAATAATTTTGAATGATAAGACAATTTTATTGTAAAGAATCCTCTGTGTAAGGGTAAGCCAACCGAGTTTAGTAAATAAAGAGGTGGACGGAGTTTCAATCGGTGCATCAAGAATAGCTCTTGCTGCCCTCTTGTAATTTTAAAAGAATGTCTAATCTACTTTTGGTAGCATTTCCCCAAATAATAGAGCAATAATCAAATATTGGTAGTATGTAACTGTTATAAAACAAAATTCTTGTCTCGTAAGTGTTATAAGTTGAAAATGTAAATAGTCACACCTTAGTTTCTTGAAATGACATCTTTCTTGTATCAGAGTTTGCCAATATTTACAAAATAACTGAAAAAAAGAAACATCCATTCAAATCCATCCTCATATTATTACAAAACTTTTATATAAGTACTTTGATGCAATATATATATATATATATATATATATACTATTCAAAAAAAGTAGGGGATATTTGATTTTTAAGTGTTATTAAAGTCACCTAATGAAACTGACGAAGAAACAAATGACAAAATGAAATGAAGTTCACATTCATCGATTTATTCCAAATGATCGTTAGACTAAGTAAGGCACAGACTGACCATTATAAGGGTAAAATGATACCCGGGGTCAAACAGCAAAGTTACCACAGCATCACAACCAAGTCAGTAACGGGTAAATCCTCCTCTGTTTGCCAAACAAGCATTGATCCGACGTGGCATACTCCTAAGGTCATTTTGGTCCAGATTGTCCCATTCCTGTTGCAACGCAGCAGCAAGTTCTTGGACATTGGCAGGACGTTGTTGACGTTGACGTAACCTCTGTCCAAGCATGTCCCAGACATGCTCGATGGGGGAGAGGTCGGGACTCAGTGCTGTACAAGGTAATGTGGTGATGTTCTGTTGTTGGAGGTAACCTGTAACGATCCTGACCCTGTGACATCTTGCGTTGTCATCCTGGAAGATGAAACGGCGGCCATGACGTCGTGCGAACGGCACAACATGGACTGCCAAGATGTTGTCCCGGTAGTACTGGCCTGTAACACGCCCTGCAACAACATGTAAAGCCGTTCTTCCAGCAACAGTGATGCCTCCCCACACCATAACAGAACCACCCCCAAATCGATCATGTCTGATGACGTTAACGTCTTGGAAGCGCTCGTTTCGACGACGCCACACCCTCCTACGTCTGTCCAAAAAATCAACAGTGAACCTTGACTCATCTGAAAACATCACATTGCTCCAGCGTCGATTATCCCAGTGTTGACGATCCCTACACCAACGACGTCTTGTCTGAATGTGATGATCTCTCAAACAAGGGATCACGCAAGGACGTCGGGCGCGAAGGTGACCCCTATGCAGTCGATTCCGAATCGTCTGGCCACTCACTCTCACACCAGTGTCTGTTTGAAGACGAGCGCTGATCTGATTTGCTGTGATGACACGATTTCTCAAGGCCAAGGTACGGATAAATCGATCCTGGGCTTGAGTTGTCGCCCTTGGTCGACCCGAGCGTGGTTTGTCCTGTACAGATTGTGTATCACGGTATCTGGACCATAGCCTGCTTATGACAGACTGAGAAACATTCATCGTCCGCGCCACAACCGCCTGTGTTGTGCCGATCTGTAGCATGCCAAGGGCACGTAACCTTTCATTTTGGGTAAGCCGACGCATATCAAAATTTGTTTTCTGGTCACTAAAACAATTAAACTGATGTTTCCACCCTGGAATTCAATGCCACAATGACTGTAACATTCAAAGTCAGGGTCGTGCAAATCTTGGGTTGGACCCCCATGATGATCCCAAGCATCACTTGCATTCCATGCGGTAGCTATTGGTGCGTTTGGGCGTCACATGTAACTGGAAATGTTTCTTCTGTTAGGTTCTATAGTGACTTTTTTCGTAGTCATTTGCATATTTTAGTATTATGCCCCCAAAATCAAATATCCCCTACTTTTTTTGAATAGTATATATATATATATATATATATATATATATATATATATGATCAAGTCAGTTAAGTAACAGATATAGCCTTTATAGGTCAAAGCAAACATTTTCAAAATATAGAAACTTTAAAAACTTTCATTTCAGTTTATTTTGTCGAAAAGTTGAGTGATACTCCAAAAACCATCAAGCATATTACTAGTATAGGAAGGATGGGACAAATTTACCTTTGATTAAATTTTGTGAACCGATTGCAGAGATGTGTAGCACTTTGGCCTGTTTCTTGTTAGTACTAACTTTTAGCTGCTCTTGATGACCTTTTCCTCGCTAGACAAAAGATCTGAGATTTTTTCATTATAGATTTTCATGTAGGTCACTCGTAACAAAAATTCCTTGTTTGGTGCCTAAAAATAAAATATATTTCTTTGTTGGACATGGCTTGACAAGACACCATAGTGGCGACTGTCTAAGTTCGTCTGTTAAAAACACAATCACATATTTAATATGTTGTTTTATTGTTAAATCTATGACCTAGTTATGAATCGCGATATGTATCGTATCGTGGCACAATAATCACAATACGTTTCGTATGTGACTGCAGTCGCAATACCCAGCACTACTTTATATGTTTGTATCAAAGATTTTTCAGTATATTTAATGTATTCATTTAATATGTTATCTATACCACATGCTTTATTAGTTTTCAGTTTGTGTATACATTTTATTATCTCATCTTCTGTAAAAGTCACATTTAGTCCATTTTCGACGTCACAGAAGGATTGTTGTAACAATTCGATCTCTGTATCATGTGTTGATTGGTTCTGCTTCATTAAGCTTCGAGAAGTATTCATAAAAGCGGTCAATGTCCACACTGTCAATATCCTGGCTTTCCCAATATTCTTTCGTGTTATTCCTTTGAACAGATTTTAAGTGATCGTTAAATACTTTATAGTACAGGGAGTATTCGGTTTTTAACTGGCGTTTATATTCTGAGCTCGCTTGTCGTAGCTTTAGCTTGTTTATATCCGTATTATACTATTCAAAAAAAGTAGGGGATATTTGATTTTTAAGTGTTATTAAAGTCACCTAATGAAACTGACGAAGAAACAAATGACAAAATGAAATGAAGTTCACATTCATCGATTTATTCCAAATGATCGTTAGACTAAGTAAGGCATGCAGACTGACCATTATAAGGGTAAAATGATACCCGGGTCAAACAGCAAAGTTACCACAGCATCACAACCAAGTCAGTAACGGGTAAATCCTCCTCTGTTTGCCAAACAAGCATTGATCCGACGTGGCATACTCCTAATGAGACGTCTAAGGTCATTTTGGTCCAGATTGTCCCATTCCTGTTACAACGCAGCAGCAAGTTCTTGGACATTGGCAGGACGTTGTTGACGTTGACGTAACCTCTGTCCAAGCATGTCCCAGACATGCTCGATGGGGGAGAGGTCGGGACTCAGTGCTGGCCAAGGTGATGTTCTGTTGTTGGAGGTAACATGTAACGATCCTGGCCCTGTGACATCTTGCGTTGTCATCCTGGAAGATGAAACGGCGGCCATGACGTCGTGCGAACGGCACAACATGGACTGCCAAGATGTTGTCCCGGTAGTACTGGCCTGTAACACGCCCTGCAACAACATGTAAAGCCGTTCTTCCAGCAACAGTGATGCCTCCCCACACCATAACAGAACCACCCCCAAATCGATCATGTCTGATGACGTTAACGTCTTGGAAGCGCTCGTTTCGACGACGCCACACCCTCCTACGTCTGTCCAAAAAATCAACAGTGAACCTTGACTCATCTGAAAACATCACATTGCTCCAGCGTCGATTATCCCAGTGTTGACGATCCCTACACCAACGACGTCTTGCCTGAATGTGATGATCTCTCAAACAAGGGATCACGCGAGGACGTCGGGCGCGAAGGTGACCCCTATGCAGTCGATTCCGAATCGTCTGGCCACTCACTCTCACACCAGTGTCTGTTTGAAGACGAGCGCTGATCTGATTTGCTGTGATGACACGATTTCTCATGGCCAAGGTACGGATAAATCGATCCTGGGCTTGAGTTGTCGCCCTTGGTCGACCTGAGCGTGGTCTGTCCTGTACAGATTGTGTATCACGGTATCTGGACCATAGCCTGCTTATGACAGACTGAGAAACATTCATCGTCCGCGCCACAACCGCCTGTGTTGTGCCGATCTGTAGCATGCCAAGGGCACGTAACCTTTCATTTTGGGTAAGCCGACGCATATCAAAATTTGTTTTCTGGTCACTAAAACAATTAAACTGATGTTTCCACCCTGGAATTCAAATGCCACAATGACTGTAACATTCAAAGTCAGAGTCGTGCAAATCTTGGGTTGGACCCCCATGATGATCCCAAGCATCACCTGCATTCCATGCGGTAGCTATTGGTGCGTTTGGGCGTCACATGTAACTGGAAATGTTTCTTCTGTTAGGTTCTATAGTGACTTTTTTCGTAGTAATTTGCATATTTTAGTATTATGCCCCCAAAATCAAATATCCCCTACTTTTTTTTGAATAGTATATCTTTACTTGTTCTCTTTATTGGACACCCGTTATTTTTTAAATGGTCAGCTAAGTCCGAGTTATCGATCATGTAAAAATCTAGTTGGTTATATACGGTATGGTTAGATGTCTTGAAGTTGGCACGTTCGTACATTCACATCTCCTAATAGACAAAATTTCAAATCTTGTGTGTGTAATTCCAGATACTTATCTAATATATGAAACATTTCAATTTTGCTGTAATTGGTATTATAGGGTGGTATATACGCCGCACAAAACAGCAATTCATATCCAAGGATGATTTTTATCAAGCGTAAACCACACAGTAAAGTCATCATTTGTGCTATGGATTTTGGCATATTTGTGTAAATCGTTTTTAATCAGAACAGCTACTCCACCGGAACTAACTTTTACGTCTTTTCTATGATTACAGTAAACTTCGAAATTGTCAATTTCTATCGTATCGAGTTTCCCGACTTTAATTTTCATTTAAACACAAAATATCGAAAGGTGCAATATAATCTTCAAAATAAGATGACAGTAATTTTGATTTAATTCCACATACATTCAGCGAACATATTCTCAACTTAGTGTCTCTATTTTGTCGATTCGATGGCTATAAAAGTCACAGTTTGTGTCTCTTCTTTGTCTTGTCGCGTTAAAATACGCCCATTGGAGTTAACTCTAAGTGTGGGTACATTCGGTAAATGACGGAGAATTGTTCTGGCATTCATCTCAATTAGTCTGTTCAAATGATTTGGCTTTTGATAGAAAAACATCCTTGAAGGCACTATTCTTCAGATTAGCTTTATTTCGTAGTACTAGATTTCTCTGCCGTGTTTTCAAAGGTTATTTTCACCAATCCGGGTTTTTCTGGGTTTCTTGACCTTAGTCGACACACTCCTGTAATTTTAACATTTTTAGCGATCTCATCACCAACTGTTTTGATAATGAGGGTAGCCTTCTCTTCAATGTGTTCACCGTCATCATATTTTACTCCAAATACAGCGACTGTGATATCATTGTTAAAGGTTAGGGTTTGGTGAGTAGTAGTACTAAAGTGATTTGCCTAAGTATGGAAGGTTGGATAAACTTACATTTAATCTCTTCGTCTTTATCGCTTACACTTATTAACTAGGTCTGCTTGACTTAATTTGAACTCTGAAGTGTCGTCTGCGACCTCTGATCAAATGCCAGTTTCTTATATACACCTCATGCACGTGCATCTCAAATCGAGTCTGCATTTGGGCGACCCGTAAATGGGGATGAGTTTAGGCGTTCTCTGAATACAGTTGAGTTTGGGCGAGCCAAACCAACTCTAGTAGTAGAATAGTGTTACTGTGGCTGTATAGAATATAGATTAGGTATGTTATGAATCTAAACAGTACCACAAAACACAACAGTATTATGATCAGCCTTTTCCATTTCAGATACCTTTGCTTGTATACCTTGAACCGTTTTAACAACTTGATCAATCCTGTCTCGCTCACAAGCCATGTCTTTTGATATCTCGTCATGTACATTTCTGCTATATTTTCCATCACCACTTCAATCTGCTTAGAAATAAAGTCAATTGATCTGGGTTGTGGAGAATCTGTAATATCGTCTTCCATCTTATTAGTTTTACTTTCTCGTTTTGGTGTTTTACCTTCACTGTCTCTCCCTCTTTTATTTACTGTCGTATTTGACATTCTGTATAAACTTTAATGTCAATGATATGTACTTTTTTGTTTGTTATTGTTCTATAAATCCACTGTGTAGGTGTAACCAGCTTTTATCACGGTTCAGTTGTTCAGAGCTGGTTGGATGGCTAAATGGTTAGCGTGTTCAAGCTGTATCATAAAGTCTGTCATTGAGTCAGCTGACGTGGTTTCGATTTCCCGGCTGTGCATGACAAGGAGCAGGGTCGCCTGTCCAACCTCGTGGGTTTTCTCCGGGTCCTCCGCTTTCCTCCCACTGCTAAAGACCCCTATGCGCAAACGAATTATTGAAATAAAATTAAACCATATGTTGGTCCCGAAATGACCTAGTTTGTGTTGACTCTCTCTCTCTCTCTCTCTCTCTCAAAATAGCTATACCGTGTAGTGCCCTTTTCTTGACCGAGCAAACCAAGAATGCGCATAAGCTATAACTACCTAATATATATCGGTACATTAAAGGGCTATTCGATTGAACGTTCCGGAATTGAATTCTCTCAATCCCCACAATAGTGAAAATGGAGTGAAAACAGTTAATTATGGGATCGTTAACTATAATAAGTTTTTTACATAATATGGTTGAAGAACAATAAAAGTATTATATGGAGTTTAAACCATTGTTGTCGTCACGAACCTGACCTAAAGACCCAATACTGTAACAGTAGTTGACGAAACGCACACACAAAAAACAAAACAAAAAAACAAAAACAAAATTATAATTATAGCGAGTGATATAGAAGAAAGATTTCTCTATTCTTGTGGCAATGAATTTAATTCTATAAATTGCTATTTTATAATTCTTCTAGGAACAAATGATTTAGTTGTTCGTGGAACAAATACATCATGGTGAACTAATTACTTAACCAAGCAAAATGATCCTTCCAATTTGTTTCATAAATGTAGAAATCTCGTGGATTTTCGACCCCCTGCTAGAGATCTGCGTGGTCAAGCCATGCTGTATTAAAGATTTACTATTAAATAGAGAGGTCAGAGACCTGGCTATCACCCGAGGTTCCATCGCACACGAACAGTGTGAGAACAAACAACCTAATGTTAAACGCTAATAACAGATTAAATGTTGCTATTATTAGACACTGGCTTAAAGTTACAATTTCATATTTTATAAGAAAGTCAAAAAAAATTA